AAAAGGAAAAAAAAAAAAAAAAAAAAAAAAAAAAATTGCATTCAAGTTTTTTTTTTTGTAAGTCCAAAATGTTACGGAACAAATTTGTTTTAAATTTTTTTAAAAATTATAAATTAAATGTATTTTTATAATATAAAATGTACACAATTATTAAAAATAAATAATTTTTGCAAACAATTAAAAATAGTTTAACAAATAAATAAAACTTTTATTATAATATATGAAAAAATTATTTTATTATTAGAATATTCAAAATAAAAAAAATAATATAAATTTTATTTTACTATTATTTTTTTGCATATTTAAAAAAAAAAAAAAAAAAAAAAAAAATTATAAAATTATAAAATTATAATTAATTTTTAACACAATATAGAATGTAGTATGTAATAATACTAGACTAAAATTATTAAATATTTTTTTTACTAAATAAATTTTAAAATTTTATGTCAGGTCGATTCCTGTTCTATATTAGAACGTAAAAAAAAAAAAAAAATAAAATAAAATAACTTTTATCTATTATAACATTTTTTTTTTTTTTTTTTTCTCACTATATATGAGTGTAATATAACGAAATTTTTTCTAGGAGAAAAGAAGTTTTTAAATGCAGATGAATGTGTTATTTTTAAAATGCGTTTTGATTCTTATATAATTTTTTTTTTTTTTTTTATATATATTCTTAATAATTTGATTGTTTAATTTTTCATTTTATTGTTTTGAATAAAATGATAATATTCAAAAGAGATTATATTTTTTATTAAAAAAAAAATAATTTTTGAATTTTTTTATGTACATTTTATTTTTAAATTTAACAAGTATATTATATATGTTAATATCTTTTTACTCCTTTAGCATTTTATAAATAAAAATATTTCACATATTAACATATTATAATTTTATGAATTCATAAAAATAATAATAAATAAATAAATATATAAATATTTTAAAATAATTTAAAAAAATATGTATAAAAAAAACAAAAAAAATAAGTCTTTTTATTAAAGTAAAAATTATATATAAGTTTATATACAATGTCAAATGATAAACACAGTTCTAATTTTTTTAGTGAATTTAATATATATAATAAAAAGAATGCAAAAAAAATTGTGTATAGATATTTTCAAAACAGAACACAAAAACAAACTAAATATATAACAGTTACCTTATTAGCTTTTAGTGGGTTATTTTTATATATTACTAATAAAGCTTATGATAGGAATATTTTTTATTTAAATAATGAAGTATATAAAAAATTTAGCAAGAATTATGATTCTTCATCACCAGTAATGCTTTTAAATATAATAAAAAAATTTAAATAAATTTAAATAAATTTAAATAAATTTAAAAAAATTTTTCTATATGTATGCATTTTTTTCAATATAAACATATTTTTACATGTTTTATATTCACATAAATTAATATAATACATAATTACAAATATATTCATATATATTCATATATATTCATTTATATTATTATAAATCATTAATGAATGTATATTTTTATAAATATAAATAGTTCTGAAAATATGTATAGAAATATTATGAAAAAAAATGCTATACAGATATATGTAAATATTAAATTATATTAAATTATTTTAATATCACATTATAAGTTATTTGATATATTAGTTGAATTTACTGTTTAATTTCCATTTTAATTATATAAATGATAAATTTTTTTTTTTTTTTTTAGTTGGAAGCACAAAATAGAGCTTTTAAGAAAATATTTATAAAAGCAAAAAGAAAAGATTTAGAGTTAGAATCAAAACCATTAATTTCTCAAATTATTAAAATTAATGAAAAAGAATAATAAAAAAAGGGAAAGAGGAAAAAAGAAAATTTAATAATGAAAAAGAATATATTAATTTGATATTTTCAAAAATAATGTACTACTATTTTATTAAGAAATTTTATTTTTAAGGTTATAAATTAAAAAAATAAAAAAAAAATTAAAAAATATATTAGAAAATTTTGAATAAATTTAAAAATAAAAAAAAAAATAAAAATTACGAAAGACAATATTATTAAGATTTAAGATAAAAAAAAAAAAAAAAAAAAATTGACTTGTGAACAAATGGTACAGATAGAAAATTAATGATATTCAAAATCTTGTAATAATATTTAAGAAAAAAAAGTAAAGAAAATTTAAAGAAAAAATTTTAGATAAATTTTATATTAGTTAAAAATTATAGAAAGATTATTAAATAAAACATAATTGATTATAGTTTGTTGGATAGTTATATTTGTTAACGTAATTAGAATTTCTGAAAAAAAAAAAAATTTTATATAACCTTTCTTAATATAAATTTCTTATGCACCTAGTTTAAGAAAAAACAAAAATAAATGAAAATCAATTAAATTTTTAAGTATATTTTTTGTTGAATTAAAAAAAAAAAAAAATAAGAAGATAAAATTCTTTTTTATTGGATATATTTTTTTTGTATATTCTAAAATATATATAGTTATAGGGAAAAAGAAAAAATAAAAGTTTCATCATATAATAATTTTAAGACATATATTTCTAATAAATTAAAAAATAAAAATTATTCATTATAAATAAAAAAAAGAAAGATTTATATATTTAATACATTTTTTTTTTTTTTATCTTAAAATATAAATTCAATTATATATATATTTAAATGTACTTGAAGTTAAAACAACTTGAAAATTATAAAAATAAAAAAATGTGTACTTATAATTTTTTTGTAAAAAATAAATTTATGTTTTTTCAAATTATTCTTATGTTATTTTTATTCATATTTAAAATAATTATGAAACAAAATAATAATTGTAAACTTATTTAATTAATTCTCAATTAAGCTTTTTTTTTTTTTTTTTCTTTTTTTTTTCCATTTAATACAGAAAATTTTCATTTATGATTTTCTGTGCATTTAACATTATCTTTTTGTTTTTTTTATTATTTTTGCCAATCCTTTTTGAGTTTTTATTTTTATTTCTTATTTTTTACATATTTTCTATCCATTTTGTAATGTGTAATGATTATTACTAAACTATTTTATTTATTTTTTTTATATATTATATTTTTACTAAATTCTGATTATATATATTTTGTATAAACATATTTTCTAAATTATTTTAAATATATATTAAATGTACATTTTTTTTATGTTATTTTGTTTTTAATGTACCTTATTTATATTATATTCTTTGTTTATATTCATTTTTTTTTTTTTTTTTTTTCTGTTGCAAATATTTTCTTATATTAAAACATAATTTTTATAATATATATTTTATCTGTTTTTTATTATTAAATTTCTTTTAATATTATTTTATTATTTATTTTTTTTTTTTTTTTTTATAATATCAAGTGTCTGTTTTTATTTTTTTTATTTTATTTTCTAAATGTTATTAGATTACCAGAAAAAAAGAAAAAACATTGCAATTTAAGGTTTTATAATAAATATTTAGAAAAAATGAATGTTTTATAATAAATATTTAGAAAAAATGAATATTTTATTATAATTTTATTCTTTTAACATAAAATTTAAATATTGGTAGAACTTGAAAATGATTACTGATTCAGAAGCACCCAGTAATTATAACTATAAATTCTATGTAAATTTATTTTTTCTTTAATTTAAAGATTTTCATTCTTTTCTAATTATTTTTTTAAGCCTACAATTTTGATAGTGATGATGAAGTTCCATGTGAATATTTGAATGATATATATGCAATAAGTGAAGATACATTTTGTTTTAAAATAATAAAGCAATTAGGAAATGTAAGTATGCTTTTTTTATTTTGTCATATTTTTTTATTTCATTTTTTTTTTTTTTTTTTATCTAACATGTATTTTTCTTTTTTTTAAGGGATACTATAGTCCAGGAAATGGGCATAAAATAAAAAGTAAATAAAAAAAGTTTTTATTTCTGTTAAGTTTTTTATTATACATAAAAATATAGAACAAATAATATGATACTTAATAAGGTATAACTATTAAATAAATACTATTCTTTCAATTTTTTTGTAAAGTAATATATTATGAATTAGGTTATGAGGATAAAATAAGAAATGTTCAAACATATTTAGGAAAAAATGGTTATATAATTTTATAAGCAGTATTACCATTTTACTTTTTTTATTATTTTATTTTCTATTATAATTCTAATAGAATTGTTACATATTTAATGAAAAACATATTTATTTTATTTTATATATATATATAGGCATATATATTTTATTCATTTTTTTTACAGACAAATTACCATATATATGTGAAGTAGCAGCGAAGTGTATGAGAAAAAATGAAGTATGTATTATTCAAGCTCCTAAAGCTTTTATGAGTAAAATGTTTAATATATTTATTTTTTATTAATTTATATTTGTTTAAACATATATGTATATATATTTATTTTTTTTTAACAAATAATAGAGGTTTTTAAAAATTCTGAAAAAAAAAATAAATATGACAAAAAAGATAATTTTAAAGTTGCCTTTAAGAAATCTTTAAGATTTAAACAAAAATGTTTAGAAAAATATTTAAATTATCCCAATGTTACATATTTTAAAGGAATTAAATTAAATTCAAATAACATAGAATTATTATTAAGAAAAAAACAGAACAAAAATAACAATAGAGAAAAAGATAAAAATGAAGAACAAACAAAAAATAATATTCAAATAAATACAACAATAATTCTAGATAAATATAATGAAAGTTGTAGGGAACATATTCAAAATGAAAATATAGAATTTCTCAAACTAGAAGAAGTGAATAATTTAAGATATAAATTTTTAAAGGAAGAAGATTTATGTACATATGTTGTTTATTTAAAAGAATTTTACAGAGTTGATATTTTAAATGATGATAAAACTATCATAAAGGAAGTTGTCAAAGAAGGAGAGGGAATTTTTACACCAAAAAAAAATGATTATATCGACTATATTATAAGAGAAAAAAAAAAGAAAGAATATATTCATATGATTTTTGATATAAGCAATTTAAAATATAGAGGGTTATTTAAAATAATGCAAAATATGAAAAAAAAAGAGATAGCTAAAGTCACTCTTAAAGGTTTAGAATGTTTTCACATAAATTATTCTACCTCAATTACTAAAAAATCCTATAATGATAATATTAACAATAATATGAATAATAGTACAGAAAATATAGTGAATTTCGTAAGTTATAAAGATTGTAATGATAATAAAACAATCAAAAATAACATAAACGAGAAATATAATTGCAAAGATGGATTTAATGACACAATAAAGAATGAAGATGAAATTATTATCAGTAATGAACTATTTAATGAGAAGAAAGAAATAATTATAGAACTTATTGATTTTAAAAGATCGAAAACAATTAATATTAATTCTCTAATTAACATGAACAATACAGAGAAATTACTTTTTTATATAAGCGAAGATGACAAACTTAAAAATATAAATAAACCAATTATTGATACTGATTGTGAATTAATAATTAATTTAAGTATTCAAAATATTGATAAAACAAAAAATAAAAAAATTGATTTACCAATTAATTTTTATGATAATAACAATAACATTAGGAAAAGTGATGGTTATTTTCTTTTTTCATATGGATCTTGTTTTACTTCTCCTCTTTGGTTTTATAAATGTTTCAAAGGTTTAAAAGAGGGAGATGAAATAATTATTCCTTTATCAAAAAATAGGAATATTTTTTCAGAAAATCAATTTGTTTATGACATATTGTATGAAGATATAGGTACAAGAAAGACTCATAATTTTCCAAAACAATACGAACTAAAAAAATCTCAAGTTAATAAAAACAAAAAATATAATAAATTAAAAAATAAAAAACAAGAATTTATAAAAGAAAAAAAAAAAATCATAAATGATATAAAAAGGAGAAAAAAATTTTATAAGAACTTGGAAAAGAAAAATGAAAAATTAAATGATATAGAAAATTTTGTACAAAACTTAATTTCTGACAGAAATGAAGGAAAAGGTTTTTTTCTCATAAACAATTTTAAAAAAAATGAAGAAAAAGACTTTTGTGAAGGTCTTTTTTCATTACAAAATTATTTCATTGAAAAAAATAAAGAACAAGAAAATATAAGAAAAATTCTCTCTGTTTGTAAATCATTTATAAAGGTAGGGCGGAAAAAAAAATTCAAAATAATTATTGAAATGCAAAAAAAAAAAAGAATAATCACTAAAATCAATAAATTTATAAAACATGATAAGGAAAATTATTCATATTACAAGTGTGCAACAAAAAAAAAAATAAAGAATAAGGGAAAAAATTATAATATTTCTTTTTTTAGAAATGCATTAAATAAAGTGTATTTTGATAAATTTTTTTATCAAAAAGACACTATTTTAAAAATTAAAATTTTAAAAATTATTTGTAAGAAAAAAGATCCTTGGAATATGAGTATATCAGAGATAATAGAAAATTTAAAAATATATAATGAAAAAGGAAATATTTTTATGAAAAAAAAACTAATATATGCAGCATTAGTTCATTATAAAAAGGGTTTTGACTTGTGTCGTTTTTCTACACTTTATAAATTAATTTTTGAAGAAAATAAATTAAGTATTGTTAATTTAGAAGATGAACAAAATCAAGTTTTAATTATTCTTATGGAAAAAATATTAACTAATTTGTCAATTTGTTACTATAAAATGAATAATTACAACGAATGTATTAAATATTCAGATAAAGCTATAATCATAAACCCACAAAATATAAAATCTATATATTGGAAAAATATGGCCCATCTAATGCAAAATAAATATGTAGATGTTATAAAAAATCTAAATAATTCCTTTTGTTTAAATGATTCAACATTATTAAAGTTGTATAACAATGCTAGATTAATAAAAAAAAAACATGATGACAATTTTAAGTCACTATTTTATGCCATATATGATAAAAAATAAGTGTTAACACATATAATAATTTATTATTTAATGCTTCAAAAATTATATTTTATAATTAATGATCATTATTTTTATTTCTTTCATAAATTAAAGAGAAAAAAAAAAAAAAAAAATTTATTTTACTTTTTATTTAATAACTTCAATATATATGATGTGCAAAATATTATCTACTTTTTTTTTTATAATGAATATTGTTCAAAAAATTTTTGATCTCATCATTTTTTTTTTCTTTCTTTTGCGAATATATCAAATTAAAATTTTTATTGTAAATAAAATTTTAAAAAATAAATGATTATTTTAAAAATATGCTACAAAAAAAAAAAAAACTTTAAAAACAAATATTATAATTATTATTAAACAGTTTATTTTACTATTTATAAAGTTTAAATATATTGATTTATTATTAAATTAAAACCAGGGAAACCATGTAGGTTTTGTATTTTTTAAATATTTAATATTCATTGACATTTCAATTAAATCTATTATTGATTTATTAACATCTGTAATATATTTTTTCTTTCTTATTTTATCTTCTTTATTTTGCTCTTTTTCTTCATCGTCACCTTTATTTTCGTTATATTTTATCTCATCACTTAATTCTTCCCCTTCTTTTTCATATCCTACTAAATTTTCTTTTCCATTATCCATGACTTCATTATTATTATATTTACTTTGTTTATTCTGCATTTGTTGTAACATCTTTTGTTGCAGTAATTGTTGTACTTGTTTTTGTAATTGTTCTTCTTGTGTTTGTATTTCATAACATTCTTTGTTGATTTCTTTTTCTTTATCGTTGTAGTAATTACTTTTTTCCTTGATTATGTTATTCATTTCCTCATTCTTTAATCCATATAAAAAATTGAATGATGTATCATTTGTTAACTGTCTTCCAATTGTTTGTGTATTCTCACTATCACATTTTCTTCTGTTATCCATTGTACCATCCTTTTTTACTAAACTTTTAAAATTTTTACTAGTTTTACTTTCCTGAATTAATAACTTAAGTTGCATATCAATTTCTTTTTTTATTTGATTTTCATTTTTTTTTTTCACTTTTTGCGAATTTATATCTACATTCAATTTTTTATATTCTGAATCGCTGTCTGATGATAATTCTGATAATGATATATCTTGTATGTCTGAGCAATATTCATAAAAATTTACTTCTATTTTTTTTTTTTTTTTTTTTGTTTTTGATGAACTGTCATTTTTTTTTTCAAATCCATTTTTATATAAACAAAGAATTCTACAAAATATATTATTCACATAATTTTCAGCATTCCTTAATATATTTTTTTTTTCAAAATCTTCTACATAAAAAGATTTTATGTAGGAATTTATTTTATCTTCTCCTTTTTCATTTATTTTTGTTTGCAAGACGCTACGATTTTTTTTATAAATATGTAAAGATATAAAATCATCAGAAATAGCTAGATTTAAAAAATTTTTTATATATTTTGTTTTTTTTTTTATTGCCATAATTGCGGAGTAAAAACACGATGGTAAATTTCCATGTATTCCTTGAAAACCAATAAAATGTTGAATATTTCTTGTTAATCTAAAAGGTATGTTTTTATATACTTCTTTTTTGATTGTTAAATCATTATATAATGGTTTTCCTTCCAAATATATAGTTCTTCCTGAAAATTTAGATAATATTATTTTATTTAAGGAGGTATTTAACTGAAAAAATATATAATTTAACATACATAATACAGAATAACTTTTAATAAATTGAGTATTCAAAATATAATAACTCTCTAAGTTATCATGCAGAAAATAAAAATAATTTCTCATTATATTCTTTGGAACAATTTTACAAATATCTTTAAAATGTATTCTCAAACACTCCTTTTCACACTTCTTAAAGTACTTATAAAACCATTTTTTATCACTTAAGTGGATTATTAATTCTTCAAAAGATAAAGAATCCCAATTAATATTAGTTGTATTCTTTATACTTTCATTATTTTTACATGAAGTCAAACTATGGCTAGTTATATTTTTTAAATCTTTATTATTTACACATATGTTTTTTCTTAACAATGTATCTTTCATTGCATTTCCCTTATTTTTAATAATTTCCTCATTGTTATTTTTTTTTGATGCATTTTTTGTTTCATCTTTTTTTATAGGACTAATTTTTATTTCATTTTCTTCTTGATTTTCTATTATTAAAGATTCAATTTTCTTTAATAAACGTTTGCGTATAGAACTTTTAATTAAATCTCTGTGATATAATAAAACACTATCTAATGAAAATTTTTCATTTTTCATCACTAATATATAATCATTATAAAGTTCCTCAAGAGTAATATTATCAATAGAATCATCCATCAATCTAAAAGATGGGTGTAAAGGAGTATGAACATTTATTTTTAATGATAATCCTCTTTCTTTTGTTTGTAAAAATTTAAACATAATATTATTTAACAATATTTGAAATAACATAAATTTATGTTCTGATTTATAACGGATAAAATTACATGGTTGCATAATATAATAATAAATATTTCCGTCATCTGTAAAAAAACTAATTTTATTAAGACTATAATTGTTTCGAACACTCGTTAGAATAAAAGAATTTAGATTAATTATATTAACAGGAGCAAATAAATTTAAATTACAATGATAATTTAAAAATTCTCCAATGTATTTTAATCTTTGTCCTGGTAGCTCAACTTTAATATTCAACTTTGAAAACATACCACATAAAGAAAAAGAAAAATCTTCTAAAAATTGATTTTCCTTTAAGGAATATAATATTATATATAATATATCTTTCCATTTTTTAACTATATTTGTAAATTGAGATAATGAAAAGAAATAATTATTAGAATTATTTTTTAAATAAGAATCATTTAATACTTTCGTATCATTTTTTTCTTTATTTGTTATATTATCATGAAAATTTGAACTTACATAATTTTTTTTCTCATCTAGAATTTTTTCAATATAATTGTTTTTTTTTAAAAATTCAATATCCTTTTTAAATTCATCCCAAAACATATGCATATTTTTAATAACTCTTTTATATTTTTCGCTAGATATGTATTTTTTTTTTAATTTTGTTTTATATCTTTTATAAATGATATTTTCAGTAAAATTTTGCATCATTTTTGAGATATGTATTTGAGAATATGGTAACTCTATACACTGATTAAATAGTTTATTTATAAAATAAAATGTTTCATCATAGGCTTGAAATCTTGTGTAATTTAAAATTTCGTTACACATATAATCTAGTGACATATAAATGTCAGAATATTTACATTTAAATACATTTATTAATTGATCAAAAGAATCTTCAAATATATTCAAAGATTGATAGGTATTTTTATTACAATTATCTGAGCACTTTAAAGAATCAACATCACTTTTGCATTTATTATTCTTATTTGATTTTATTTTAGTTTCATTTATAGTATTATTTTGTAAATTAAAATTTTCTGCATTCAAATTTTCTATTTTGCTCTTATCATCATTTTCAATTAAAAAATCACTTTTATTAATATCATTATTATTTTCCTTTTCAATGTGACTATAAATTGTTTTTTCAGTATTATTTCTAATATTTTCAGCATTTTCATTGTTTATATCATTTTTCATTATTATGTTCTCAAATTCTAATGTGTTCTTATTATTATTTTTATTATTCGAAAGGTATAAGTTATTTTTCAATATAGATGAATTGGCTTTCTTTCCCTTTTCCTTATTTATCTCTTTCAAATAATACAATTTATCTTTTCTATCTATATTAATAGACCTAAAATCATAAAATATGTCTTGTGGGAATTTGCTCATTAAAATGTATAAAATTTTATGAAAATATATATAATTTTTCTGGTTTATATTTATGTTGTTCATTAAAAAGGGTAAATAAAATAGCCATAAATTTGGTGAGATATTATCGTTATATTTATTAAAAACTTGAAATAAAGAATTATCTTTTGTAGCAAAATTTAACATGTAGAATACATTACTTAGATAATAATATCCTTTATTTATATTTAAACTAGAATATATTAAATAAGATATTATAGAACTTAAACATAAAGAAATATTTTTGTTTTCTTTAAATAATTTATTGCAATAATTGCCCCATAAAAGCCATGAATTGTTTTCAAATGGATATATTTTTAAGGAAGAAAGAAAACATTCTTCGATTATACTTCCATCAAAAAGCTTATATTTCTTGTTATTACATTTACAAATAAATTCTGAATTATTTATATTAATTTTTTTTTTATTTTCTCTCTTATTTTTATTTTTCTGTAAAATATTACTATTCTTTTCTTTATCATTATCACATAATTTATTTTCTTTTGTTTCTATATTTCTTTTTTCATTTCCTTCTATACTTTCATTATGAAACATACTTTTATTATTATTTCTATTTTTTCTTTTCACGTTTTTCTCAGTATATTTCTCTTCTATTTTTTCATTAAAACTATTATTAACTTTTTCATTTTTTTTTTTTATTTTTTTATCATTATTTTCTTCTTTATCTTTTAACACATAATTATTACGTTCATTATTTTTATTCAAAAAGTTTTTATCCTGAATATCATCTTTCACACTTCTACTATTATCACTCTCATCTTTTTTTGTATAATCTTTATGCATGTATTTACAATAATTGCAATTTTTTTTGTTATTTTTTTCTATAAAATTATTTCTATACAAAAATAAAACTATTTTATTTAAGTCACATAATATTTTTCCTTTTATGTAAAAAAATTTACTTCTAAATTTTTCATAGCCAGCCATTGGTAGTGAATCAAAATTAAATGTATTAATTATATTTAAAGAATTAACATAGCATTTTAGTTTTCGTATAACTTTATGAAGAAATTTATTTTTTTTTAATTTTTTTAAGTTGATACATATATTAAAATATTGATTTTCCATATTTGTTATATACAAATAATTTTCATCAAAAGTTATTTTTGCATTTTTTTCTTTTTTAAATGAATTTTTTTTATTATTTATTTCATTTTCTTCATATGTGTTGTATTTTTCAATAAAATTATTTGTTATATTACTTTCATTGACAGATATGTTGCTATTAATTAAATTCTTTAAATTTATCTTTATTATTTCTATGTTTAAGATGTAATTTTCTTCTGTGTTTAACTTATTATTTTTATAATTTTCAAAGTTTTCATATATTTTATCAAAATAATAATAAGATATGTTATTCATTTTTCTCATATTTTTTACTATGTTTAATAAATTGTAAGTTTTGTTCTCTTTGCAGTCATATGTATCAGAATTCTTCGAAATAGACAAAAAATCATAGTTACCAATAAAAGTTTTCATGATTTTTAAAAATAAAAGCTTCCATGAACATATATATTTCAAGTCATAAATATCATTATAAGAACAAAATGATTTATCCTTACTGAAAATATTATATAAATTATTTAATAAGTTTATAAAACTCACTACTTTTTCTTCTTTTTTTTTTTGCTTTGTTTTCAAGGAGTATTCTTTTATAATTTCTATACTTATTTGTGCATATTCAAATAATTCTGCATGTAAAAATAGAGCTTCAAAATTACTATTTTTGTATTTGCGTAACTGCCTAAATCTTTCAAGTAATAAATCCATTCCATTACTTATGTTATCTTTAATTGCTTTAATATGTTTCTTTTTAAAGTCAAATCTTAGTTTTTCAACGAGAAAAGAATTATTTTTTCCATTAAACATATTTAAAACATTATTTCCTTCATTTAAAAATATTTCATAATCATAATTAATTTTTTTTATTTCATTTTTCTTGATATTTATTTCATTATTTTCTTTTTTCTCGTCATCAATGTTTTCCTTTATTTCTTGAATATACATATTTTTTGTAAATGTATTGTTATTTTCTTTCAACTCTTCAATTAATTTTTCTAAGTATAAATGTGCATTACAACAAATATTATAATTTATATCGTCATTTATATTTTTTAATATATTTATATCATTTATATATTCCATATTATTACAATATTTATAATTTTCATTAATAGAATTTTTACTTTTCTTATAAATAACACTATTATTATCATCATCATTTATACTACCATTGTAAATATTATTTTCATTATAATTTTTAACTACTCTAGAATTATTAGATTTTGAATCATTTTGATCATCATTTATGTTAATTGTTCTTTGAATTGTATGTATCTTTTTATGATAATATAAATTATTTAAATTATCATTATCATTTGTTTCTTTGTTATCTGTAGAATTATTTTTTTTTGTATTGTAAATTTCTTCTTTTTTTTGATACTTTTCTAATTCATCTTTAATATATCGTTCTTCTTTTGATGATTTTGAATGTATTTCGTTTTTTCTTTCATCTCTTTCCTTATTCACATATTTTGTCTCATCTTCTTTATGTATATATTTTAAATTATCATTTAGTAAGTAATATATATTATTTAAATTGTTCAAGTAGTTACTTTTTAATGATTCAAAGTTGCAATTAAAAGAAAAAGTATCTTCTTTTTCAATATTCGAAAATAATATACATTTTCTGTTTCTCAAAGGAATAGAAGAGTATTTTTTTCTTTCCTTCAAATCAATTAATTGCATATAATTTTCAATACAAGATATTTTATTAAAATATTTTAAACTTTTTATCCAATTGCTTTTATTTATATTTATTTCTTCTTTAGTTAAATGAAATTTTTCGTAATCAACGAAATGTTTAAGATAAGAATATTCATTTTTGTAAAATAAATTATAATGATTATAAAATAAAGATTTTGATAATTCATCATTTTTCAGTAAATATTTTTTTAATGCATAAATACTGTCATATTCTTTTAATTCACTGCTGATTTCAATTAAAAAATTAATAATTTGTTTGTAATTATCGTAGTTCTTTTTTATTATCTTTACATTATTAATATTACTACACTTCTTTATATTTAACGATAGCTTATCATCTTTCTTATTTTCAGTTTCTTCATTTACTTCAGATTTTTTTATTTCTTTTAAGTTTTGATATAATAATATTTGCAACATATATTTTGATATTTCGTAAGTACAAAATTTTTTAGCACAATAAAAAATAATTTCTGTTGGTATAAATAACATAAGATTTAATTTAAATAATGATGTTAATAATGTTTCTAATACATTAATGTTAGAATCATTTGCATATACATTATTTTGGTACAATTTATTTTCATAGTTTATATTATTTATAAAAGAATTTTTTTTTTTTTGTGAATTTGTATATTTGTAATTATTTGTATAAGATTCTTGAATATTAATGTAATTATATAAAAATTTTACAATGCAAAAATTCAATTGTTTAATCTGTTCATTAGATAAACATTTGAAAAACTGCGAAAATAATTCTATCCACATACATCTGGAATATTTTTTGAAAATGTTAACTAAACTTAATATAGGTTTAAATAAATATTTAGCTTTAATTATTTTTTGTTTACACTGTTTTAAAAAGTTATGCTGTTCATTACAATATTTCGTCAAATAAAATTCCCATGTAATAAAATCACTATTATAATTTTCTACGTTAATTATTTTATTTTTATTTTTAGTACTTTTATTATAATTTATTTTTGTTTTACTATTTTCTTCATTCTTATTATATCCATGACTTATTTCTCTTTTTGTTTTCGTCTTACATAAAAATGGAATAAGAGATTGTGTTTTATTTTTTAAACAAGCATAGGTGTCAATATTCTGTTTAAAAAAGGAAAATAAAATATTTAAGAAAAGTGATATGAAATATTTATCAATAATATGTCTAAAATAATCATTATTGAACAAAAAACAAATAGATTGAAAAATATCTTTACATAAAAAATATTTTTGAAAAATATGTGTGCATGTGTATTTTATTTTTGGAATAAAAGAAAAGGTTCCTCTCAAAATATTTGGTAATAAAATATTCAAAAAAGTGCTTTTTATTTCAATAAAATTATAAGTTTTAGCATATTTCTCTTTTTCTTCTTTAATAAAATATAATAATATATCATAATATTTTACATAACACATATAATCATCAGAGTAATCAAAAAGTATTAAATCTTTGATGATGTCAGCTTTTTCTTTTGATGATAAATTTATATTGAAATTCTCATTTTGCTTATATAATTTTTTTAATTTTTTTTTCTTATTTAAAAATATATCTTGGCATAAGATTTCTTCAATTATATTTTCTTCAAATATATAATCGTAAAATTTTATTCTTTTACTATATTTTTTTTTTATTTTCCTTTTTGATATTTTGCAATCATTAATATTCTCCTGTAAGCAATTTTTTTTATAATTTTCATGAAAAGCTTTATCTTCTTTATTCAGAGATATTTTCACCTTATCATTTTCTTCTAAATTTTTAATATTTTCCTTTTTACATATATTGCCATTTGTATATTTTTCATTTTTTTTTCCAATTAAGTTCATATTTAATTCTTTTTTTATTTCTTCATTATGATCTTTTATAAATGTTTTATTTCTTAATTCGTTTTTCCTTCTATTTTCATATAGTACTCTATCTTTTGAGAAAAAATATCTATTTACGATTTTATAATTATATACATAATTTGTACTTTTATTAAAAAAATTATTTATGTATTTTATATAATTTTTTATCTCAAATTTTTTATTTTTATCATTTAATTTATTCATAATCCTTCTTATTTTATCTTTTGTTCTTGTTTTATGCATATTGTCATCACCGAATGACGATGAGAAAGACAAATTATCAGAAGATATATCAGATGGATATAAATATATATATTTACTAATGGATGAATTTTTTGTTAAATTATATTCAAAAATATTTAATATAAATAAATCAAAATGATAATAATTTTTATGTTCCACATGTAAAAAATATTTTAATATACAAAAAAAGTTGAACATATCCTTCTTCTCCATTATATATAAATTTATGTTCATTAAAAATATTAATCTTTTTAAACTTATCATTTTTTTTTTTTTTTTTAAACAATAAAGTCCTATTAATTTTAGTTTTCTTAAGTATTTTAGTAAAAGAAATTTAATTAATTCTTCATAATAATTTGTATTATTATGAAGTTGACAAAAAAATTCAAAGATTCTTATACTTGTATTTAATTTTACATTAAAGAATAATTTCTTAGTATAATAAATTTTATGACTCTTCTTATATTCCTTCATTCCTTTAATAGCTAAGCTAATTAACATTTCATGTAAGAATTCAATTTTTTCATATTTATCTTTTTTTTCAAAATTAATATCAAATATGAAATATGATAACTTATTTCTTTTTTCATTTTTATTACTATCTTTTTTTTTATTTAATATACTAAAATTTGAAAAATATAAATTATGTGATAAAATTATATGATTTATTAAAATCAAAATTGAATGTTGTATTTTATTATTATTAAAATTTATTAATAGAAAAAATATGCAACTTAATATGTGCAAATTTTTATATATATTCTTTTTATTTACATATTTTATCAGTACTTTTAAAATCATATAAATTGTTTTTATGGTACTTTTATTATAATTATTATTCATCAACCTACATACATCTTCAATTTTATTTATATTGTTTTCACATTTATCTTCTTTTTCTACAACACTGCTTTTATTTACTAAGTTCATAATGTTAATACATTTATTTGAATTATCATTTGTTACTAAATTTTCATTTATATTATCTTTATTAATAATTGTACTTTTTTCTTCTTCATTTATATCATTATAGATGTAATTTTTTTCATTCAATTTTAATATATCTCCATTATACACCCCCAATAATTCCTTTTTACTCAAAAACGAATTAAAAGCATTCTTTGAAACATTATTTGTCACAATAGTATTCTTTATATGGTAATTACTTATTGTATTTTCGTATGTATTACAAACGTTTTTTAATTTTGAGTCAATATTGCATTCATTAATTAATTTATGTTTTCGTTCATCAGATAGATTATCATTTTCCGATACTCTATCTTTATTTTTTTTTTCTTCTTTAGATTTATATGATTCTATATTTAAATAAAGATTTTTTAAAATATTATTATCTATATCTTTTTTATTAACTTTTTTTTTTTTTTTTTTTTTTTTATAGCTATAATCTATAGAATAAAAGTAAATCAACGTTGTATACATATCTAAATACTTAATTTTTATATTATTCTTAATTCTTAATATATCTTCAAGAATAACAAGAATCTTATTTGTTATATTATTCATATATAGTTTATGACTATTCTTTATTAAAGAAGAAATTATTAAATTACTTAACTCATTTAAAATATTATAATTAACATATATGTGTTTATATTTCTTAATTACATTTACTATACCTATATAAAAAACTTGTCTAATATCATCATTTCTAGTTTTTAAAAAATAGTTATAAAGTTTGTTTTCCAATTCAATAAATATTTTATTTTTATTGTGACAGTTTTTTTTAAAAGAAGTATCCTTTCTATATATTTGCTTTTCATGTTCACTAAGGGAAATTATATTTTCATTATTAAGAATAATAGTATTTTCATTTTTTATCATATCACTTTTGCAATGGAGTTTTTTATTATTACTACCTTCAATTTCAGAAGAAATCCTACTTTCTGAAGAAAATGTTTCCAATTTATTTGATTCTATATTTGCAGTATTAAATTTTTTTATAACAATTTTATTATTATTTAAAGTAAACATACTAAGAACACAATTACAAAATATATTAAATTTTATTAATGAGAATATCTCATTTAAGGAAAAAATTATGAAATGTTTTTTCTTCTTATTTATATATGAACTATTTGAAAAACTTTTTAAAATTTTAAAAATATGTGCTATTGCATATGGATATATATTAAAAAAATTATATTTATGTTTTAAAATAATTTCTAATATATGTATTTTGTTAAATGGATTTTTTTCTTTTTTAAAATAGTCTAAAATAATAGTTTTATAATCAAGAAAATTAAAATTTTCTATATTATTTTTTTTGTTGAAATAATTGAAATTCTGTATATTATCAAAATCATTTATGAAATCATCGTTGTAACAATGCAATGCATTTTTTTCATTATTACTTACTATATCATTCCAACTAAAATTGTTAAAATAAAAATAATTCATATAATTTTTTTTTATGTAGCATTTCCATATCTTACTTTTATAGGAAATTTTATTATTCTGTTTAACTCTTAAAGCAATTATTTTTGTTAATTCTTCCAAGTTCGTTTTTAATAAATTAATTTCTTCATTTTTATGAGAAGACATTAAATAATGAAATATATTTTTCAAATCATTTATATTATTATGAAAATAATATTTATAAATATTAATTATATTATGAATACATAACTGTTTTATATATTCAAAAGGAAAAGAAATATAATGGTTATTTACTTTTCTTAAGTATGTAAATAATAAGAATTTACTTTCTTTGTTATTCAGTTTTCTCACTATATCTATAAAAAAACTGCATATAACTAACTTATTTATTATTGTTTTTGTATAATTACAATTAAATTCTAACAATATCTTCATAGAATAAATAACTTCATAAATATTCATAAATAAATCATGATTATAAAAAGGGAAATCCCTCAAGTAATCTTTTTCCTTATATAGAGATAAATTAAATAAACAATAATCATTAGATCCATTAGAAGGATTTGCATTATCATTTAAACTATATATAAATAAACTATTATGCAAATTTCTAACCGATATATAAATTTTACCGTTAACTATATTTGAAAAATTATTGTTATACATTGAATTTATATTTTGTTCTGTTTTTTTATTCATATTATCATTATATTCATTATAATTATTGATACCATTATTTTCATTATTATTTCTTGAAATATTTTCATTATGATTTCTTGAAATATTTCCATTATTATTTCTTGAAATATTTCCATTATTATTTCTTGAAATATTTCCATTATTATTTCTTGAAATATTTTCATTATTATCATTATTAGTTCTATTATTAAAATTAATCTTATTATTTATGTCATTATTACTATTATTAGTATTTTCTTTTATATTATAATTATGGTTAATGTCTGATTGAGAAAATATTTTTGAATGTAGATTTAAGAAAATTTTATTATTATTTAAATAAAAATTATTATTATTATTTTCATACATATTATTTATTTTATAATCCTCATTTTGAAATTTAATATATTTTATATTTTTTTTTTTATTAATATATTCCTTTAAAATTGGGATAATTAAAAATTTTACTGAAGTATTATAAAATTCTTTATGAGATAATTTAAAATTCTTAGTAATATTAATAATAGTGAAAAATATAAATCTTTTTTCTCTAAAAGTTAAACTTTTTGTTGCATACTTTTTGAAAAACTTATGTAAATAACTATAATCTGTTTCTCTACTTATAATTATAATAAAATTTAATATAATAAATATATTTGTTCTAAAATAAAATAAGTGATGATTATATTTCAGATCTTTAAATGTTATATTGTTCTTATTCTCATGTTTTTTTTCATTATGTATTTTTTCATTTTTAAAAGTATTTAAGAAATGGTTTTTTAACTCTTCATTTGCTCTTATATCAATATTATAGTTATATTTTTGTTCATCCCATGAGTTATTTCTAACATATTTTAGTAAACTTCTACTAAAATGAAAGAAAATTATAAAAATTTTAACACATTTTTTGCATTCGTTCTTCTTTAAAAATAAAATAAAGTCACAATTTTTCATAGATAAATATTGACTAATTAAATAACTTAAACAAATATATAATATTTCTATTATACAAACTTTATTTTTATTAATTCGTTCTTCATAAAAATTCAGAAAAATGTATGAAGGCTCATATTTTAATATTGCGTGAATTATGTTTATAATATTTAATAAATTGCATACAAATGTATTATTAGTAAAAAGAGGGATATTATTAAATTGATTTAAATAATTATTCTCATATTTTCTCATTTTATTTAATTCGTCCCAAAAATTATTTAAATTGTTTTTAATATCTAAAAGACTTTTTTTTTTTAAATCGTTTTCTATATTTTTATCAACAAATTTCATAAATTTAGTATAATCATATGTAGTAATTTGATTTAAATCTTCATTTTGTATATCAATAATATTAATACTAAAAATATAATATAAAATTATGTTATAAGAAAAGTTAGATATATATCTTAAAAGTATGTTAATAAGTATATTAAATTTTTTAAAAATATATTTTCTGAATCCACTTAAATATTTTAAGTTCAGTAGAGATAAGAAACAAAAAAATATTTTATTATTGTTTCTATTATTTAAAAAATATTTAAAAGAGTGTTCATAATTTTTATTACATAACATACTTAAGCTATACATATAAAAATTACTTAAATATATCTCATTATAATTAAATGTAATATAATTTTCAAGTAATTTGTTTTCATTTAATAAATTTATATCTTCATTAAAACTATTTACATTATCTATATTATTCTTCTTTTCTAAATCATCAATATTATTTCCATTATTATTTTTATTTAAATTTCTCTGTATAAAAATTGTATTAATACTTGAGTTTTTCTGTGTATTTATTTTATTTTTTTCTAAAAAATAATTATTAGTAGTATTATTATTATCTATAAAGTTTAACTTGTTTTTTTGATTCTCACTTTTACTATCTATTATATCCGAACATTTTATAGAAATATTATTCCCTTTTCTATTATTATGATACTCATCTAATAATAGATCAGTTATTTCTGCAAATTGCTTGTATGATAATTTAGGTATAGAAAAAAATTTACAAAATATTATCATTACTTGTTCTACGTTTTTATAACACATTTTATAACATGTGCTTTTTTCATGGAATAATTTTATATATTTAATAAATGCTTCTATTAAAAAGGAAGAAAAAAGATGAGGAAATAAACAATATATTTTACTAAGACCAGTAATAAAATTTTTCTTCAAAATAAAAGATTTATTTTTTAAAACATATGATAAATTAAATAAGATAGATTTTAAATATGATTTTAAATCTTTTTTATTTATTTTTGAGATCCTTGCAATTGTCCTATTAAAATTCATGAATTTCATATCATTAATCTTACCAACATTTCTTGAATTATTTCTATTCATAGATATATTATTTCCTTTTATACTATTATTAATATAATATGATAAGGTTTTCTTTTTCTCATCTGTTTCCTTAAAATTGAGTACATTTTTTTTCATTAAATTATATATATTTCCTTCTTTCCATATTATATTCTTATTTTCATTTTTTTTTGCACCTCTCTCTTGTTCATTGATAAAAATTATATATTGCAAAGTATGTTCTGCTTGAATGCATAGCTCTTTTTCTTTTCTAAATAAAAAATTCATAAGAGTTTGAATACAACGATTATATAATGATGTACTTTTTTTATTAATTTTTACATTTATCGTAGATAAAAAATGTTTATATAATGGATGTGTAAAGCATATTTTAAAAAATATCATCGCATATAGAAAAAAATTAATATTTTCTTCTTTTATATTTTTTTTTAAATCATTTTTACAGTCAAAATCTGTGTATTCAACATTTTTACTCTTATTTTTTTTATCTGCAAATGTTTTTTTGTATTTAAGATTTATTTTTTCTTTTTCTATATTATAAATGTTCAAACCACTTAAATAATTTATATTGTTTTTTATATCTTTATTATAATCGTTATATATATTAGTTATATCATTTTCATTGGACAAATTTAGACCGTTTATATCTAATTCTTTATCTTCGTTTTTATGAATTGAATTATACTTTTCATCATTAATAGTTATATTACTACTGATTAAATTATAATTTATGTTATAATCAAATTTATGTGATGAATTAAATGAACTTTTTTCCAGTAATTTTCTATTTTTATTTTGTTCTTTCTCTTCCAACGAAAATTCATAATTTACTGTTTCATTAATATCTTTATTTATTATATTATTTTCTAATATTTTTTCATTATTCAATGTGTTCATCATAAAATTTTTATATTCAGTTAAATTTTCTTCATTATTATTATTGATATTGTTATTATCATTATTTTCATTTTTATTAGTTATACTGCTATTATTTTCCTTATTATTATTTATTAATATTTCTTCATTTACACTTGATTTATTTTCATTTATACTATCATTACATTCACTTTTATTATTTTCGTTGTTGTAATTCATTAAAAAATTATCACATACATTTATATTATGGTAATAAAAGTTCTCATTATTATTTTCATTATTATTTTGGTTAATCACATTTTCATTCTTATTAGTTGAGATATCTAACTTATCTTCAAAATACATATAAAAATAAGAATTTGGAATATTTTTCATTTCATCTTCTTCACTAAAATTGATTGGGAAATTTTTATTATTCTCAAATGTGTTATAATTGTTATCTATATATTCATTTTGATTAATTAACAAATTTTTTATATTATTAGAAAATATATTTTTGTTACAATCTTTATTTTTAAAATTCTTCATTTCTTCAGTTTCAGTGAAATTATGACCATTATTTGTAAAATAGTTCACACACTTTTTTTTTAAAATTTTCTGATATAAATTAAATAAATCTTTATTTTTTTGTTCATTCAGGGAATCGATATTAGGAGAATATTCATTATTATTTATATCATATATTTGGTTATAAAAAATATTTTTTTTTTCTTTCATATATATGTTTTCAAACAATTTTAAATTGTCATTTAAATTATTTATGTTATTATGTTTTCCATCATATGGAATTTTTTCTGAAAAAAAATTTCTTCTCTTACTAAAAATAAAATTAAAATTTGTTTTGCTATGCTGGTCTAAATATATATTATTATTAAATGGAGTGCTTTGTATATTGTCATTCAAGATATAATCTACAAATTTATATTTTTCCTTCTTTTTATCTAAATTTTCAATAATATTTATTATAACATTAATTAAATTAGCAATAAATGTTGTATCAAATTTAATATATGGTTTTTGTGATAAAAAAAAACACAAAAAATCTAAATAAGAAACTTTAAGTTTAAATGAAAATGACAAAAAATTAGATATAGAAAAATATTTGATCAATAAACTCAGTAAGCATATTTCATTTTTCAATGAATATTTATGCATTAATAAATCTTTTATATTAGTTCTTAAAATTTTTGCTAGTATTATAAATGATTTTTTTATAAAAAGTCTATTATATTCCTCCTCTTTATTTAAATTGTGAATATATATTTTTAAAATGTTGAATAATATTCTATTCATTTTTAATATATCTTTCGTTTTTCTTTTATTTTTTTCTTTTAATGTTAGTATATCCCACGTATATATTTCATCTCTATTGTACCAAAAGTGTTTATCCTTTATGTATCTTTTATCTTTTATATTATTATTATTATCTTCATTAGATTCAATATTACATTTTTCCTTTTCATTGTTATTAAAAAAATTTCTTATTTTTTCTATATTCTGTTTCAATTTTATAATTTTATTTTGTTCTCTAGATCCCATTATTTTTAAAGTATTTCTATCAATTATATTATCCATTTTATAAGAATTAGTTATTTCATCCATATATGTTTTGTTTAATGAATCCATCTCATTTAAAACATACGAATTTATTTCTCCCACATATCCAATAAACAAAGAAGAAATCGCTAAAGAAAAGCATTCCTCAATTAATAATTGTATAATTCTAAAATATTTCAATTTTGATTTTTCAAAACAAGTTATCAATGTATGAATAATATGATATATATTAAATTTTACCCAGTGTGGATGTAAAATTTTGATGACTTTTATAAATAATAATAAGCCAAATATTTTCTTTTTTATTTTATAATTATTGCATATATTACATATAGAAGAGCATAAATTTGAAAAAAAGAAAGATTTCATACATTTTTGAATTTTTAATGGTTGTATTTTTAAAATTGTTTTTAAAATTTTCTGCATAAAATTCAAACCTTGTATACTACTTTCAATAAAATATGGATGAAAATCTATTAAATTACAAAACGTAAATATAAATAAAGATACATCTATTTCATTATTATGATTTTTTATATAAATAAAATTCTCATTTTTAGATAGAATAAATCTGTTCGATAGTATCAAAGACATTCTTCTAATAATGTATTTAACTATCTCTCTTAATTTTTCCTTCCATATGTTATTTTTACAAATACTTTTACTTTTGTTCACATTTTTTCTTTTCTTATTTTCTTTTTCTTGATTTATTTCAACTAGCATTATTAGAAAACAGTACATCAATTTTTTTAAAAAATTACTATGATCTTCTTTATAAATAAAAGAATACTTATATAAATATTTGTTGCAACTACACGTTTTAAAAGTATACTTTTTTTCCTTATTTGTAATATTATCGTATTCTCTTTCTTTAAATATATTTGTATAATATTTAGACATAGATGCATTTTCATTATATTTTTCAAATATTTTTTTAGATGGAGTGTTTTCTAAATGGTTCATATTTCCTTCATTTCTCAATTTTATTTTTTCCATATTATTCTTTATTTTATTATTATTACTATTATTATTATTATTACTGTTATTACTATTATTATTATTACTATCATTATTATTATTACTGTTATTATTATTATTATTACTACTACTACTATTAATATTATTATTATTACTACTTCTATTATTATTATTATTATCATTATTATTGTTATTTTTATAAATTTTAAAATCTTTATTCATTGATGCAACCTTAATCATATATATATAAAATTCTGATATACAATTAGAATGATTGAAAATAAAAACAAATATAGTAATAATTATCCTATAGCAATTAATTCTTTGATTTTTATTAATACATTTAAAACATAAGTCACTTTTCTCAAAATATTTAATTTCATTATTTTTAATAAATTTATTAAATTCATTAAAATAATTCTTCTCCTTTAAATATATTTTTTTTTTGTTAAATATGCTATTACTTTTTTCTTTGCAACTATGATAATTATAATGATTTTTTATTGAAATTCTACTATCATTATTTACTTCCTTATTTACCACATATTCATTTTCTGAATTTTTAACATAGTTTGTTTTAAAATTATTGTCATTCTCTAAATAAAAAGAATTGTTATTACACACAAGATCATTATCTTTCTTATTTGAAATATTATTCAACTTGATTTTTTTTCTTTTATCTCTAGTTTCATCTATTTTCCTCTTCTTAAAAATACTTAAATCATCAAAATGAAAAATTTGAAAATTTTGTTTCTCTCTCTTTTTTTTTATTGTAATTTTTTTTTTAATAAGAATCTTTCTTTTTAAATTTTTTTTTATTATTTTCCTATGATGATACAAGTATTTTGATTTATTATATTTTATAGAATTTTTTAATATTTTATAACAATAATTTAATGTTTTCTCTAAATCAATATGGTGTATTATATCATCAAATTTGTCACTTATAATTGTATTATTCAAACTACCTAAAAGAAAGTTATCTTCATTATCATTAAGAAATTCAAATTCCTCATTTTTATTGAATGTTTTATCATTTTTCAAAGTATTAATTTTATTTTTTTTTTTTTCATTATTTTCATTTGTTTTTGTGTCATCATTAATATTTTTTTCTTCTTTATATTTATCTTCTTCTTTTATGTTATAATTTGCATTTAAATTATTTTTTAGGTTTTTATATTTTCCATTTTCTTTTGGTTCAAACAAATTATCAATATTTTGCAATTTTCTTTTATTAGATTTTTCTTTGTTGCTAATGATTTTTTTTTCATCGTCACTTTTTAGTTGTATTCCCTGATCACTTTGCTTGAAATCATCATGCACTTTTTTATCATTTTTATTTTCATTATCACTCTCAATTTCATAATAATTTTTGATTTCTTTGTTATCATTATTATCGTCATAAGAATATAAAATTTTCTCTTTTTTTAAGTTTCTCTTTGCTTTTGTTTTTTCACCTTCTTTATTTACAGAAAATGTATATTCCTGTATATTATTTTCATTTTTATTAATTTTTTCTACTGATTTATCAAGTTTATGTGTGTTTTTTATACTTTCTCTTTTTTTATTTTCTTTTATTTCTTTTTTTAAAAAAAATCCTATTTTAAAATATGGGTATAAACTTTTTTTATTAATCATATAGCAATACTGATTCTTAAATATTTCATTTTCTCGAATAAATTTGCAATAAATTCTTAAAATTGTATATAAATTTTTAATATACATTTTCTTTAAATATTTATTCATTTCTGCTTCTGACTGAAATGTGTAGTTTCCTAAATCATTTTTAAAAAAAAAATTATTAAAGGAATTTCTAAAAAAATCGTTTATATAATACTTTTGTTCATAAATATTATTAAAATTAAATTGAAAATATATTTTTTTATTTAATAATTTCGTTAAATTAGTAATAATGTGTGATTTTGTTGGGTTATTGTTTTTATAAAAAAATGAAGAAGAAATAATATCTTTTATAAAATTTTTATTAGTATTATTCATATTTTTTTCTATTGTTTTTAAGGCAATTTTAATCATGTTTATATCTTTTGAATTTAAACAAATTAATAATGATTTCATATAAATATGAAAATATTTATTCATAAAATTATTAATTGGTAATATTAAACATAATTCACAAAATAGCATTTTAAATAATTTTGGAGATTCAAGGTAAACATTTTCAAACAAATTTAGAAAATATTCGATCATATCATTTTCATTTTTTTCATATTCATAATATGATTGCATATTATGTAAACAATTAGATATATCATTTTTATATATAAAAAAATTATTATTACTTTTTGTCTGCATTATATTTTTTATATCACCAAAATCATTTGAATTCTTTTTATAAATATCAAATGTATCAATGTTAATATAATTATTATATCCTCTATTATTGTCATTAAAAATATTGTTATCACCGTTATTATTTTCGTTATTATTATCATTATTATTCTGATTATCATCATAATTATATAATTTTTTTTGTAAGGAATTTAAGTTAACATTGTTGTTCTCATTCTTGTTTAAATTAAAATTTTCCTTACTTTTACAATAATTTTCTTTTATTAAGTTTAAATAATTTTCTATGAAAAAGTTATCTTTTAATTTATCATCATTTAATTCTTTCAAATAATTTAAATTATCATTATGTGAAATTTTATCGAATACCAAATATGTGTTACTTTTATCTTTACTATTTTTCTTTAATTTATTTGCATAATTTATATGACAAATAGTTTCAAGGATTGACTTTATTATGTCAATGAGGTAAATAGACTTGTTATCATTTAAAATGATATCAAAACATACTTTAAATATAGTTTTTAATTCTTTTAAAAAATGAAAATGATAATTAGAGTAATATTTTATTACTTTTAAAATAAAATATATCACTTTAATTATTAATTCTTTATAAGATAAATAGTGGTTAAAAGTATTATTTAATGAAAGAGTATTATAACCAATTATATAGTCATATGTGTTAATATAATTATTATACTCAATATTTTTTTTTTTTTTTTTTCCTCTTAAGTTTTTAATTTTTATATTATCATGAAAGATATTACCCTTTTTTATATTGTTTTTTGAAATACATTTATATTTTTTGTATTTATTTTTCAATGAATATTTATTATATAAAAAAATATTATCATTTTCTTCTGATAATGATTTACTTAAAATTCTACAATTGTCATGAAAATAAGATAATACTTTTTTTTTTTTTTTCTTGGGGAATTTATTAATATATCTTAATATAAAATTAGATGGATTTATAATTTCTTGTTTTGATAAATTATGAAAAAAGTATCTGGTATTCCTCTTTTTTTTTATTTCCCTTATATTATCTAATTTAAATTTATTATTTGAAGTACTCAATTTCTTTAAAAATTTTATTTCTTCATCATATGCTAACTCTTTAAATAAATTTGCATTATTCAATGAAGAGTAAAATATTTTCTTTTTCTCAAAATTGTTCAGAGAATTTTTTTCATTTTCATATTCTTCAAATATATTAAAATCAAAATAGTCTGTCCACATGTAAAATTTATTGAAATTTTTTCTTTTTTTATCATTTTTTAAATAACATGTGGGATAATTTTCATTAAAAAATGTGTGATTATCTAAAGAAATACTTTTGGGGAAAGATATTAACATTCTTTGATTTTTTTTTTTAACTTTTTTTTTTATTTTTTTCTGTTTGTTAATAAATTCATTAAGAGAATATTTATATATATTTCCTAAAATTTTTCTTTTTTTTGTGACTTTTCTATCTTCATAAAAGTGATTTATACTTAATCTCCTTTTGCTTATATTGTTTTTAAACTTCTTATTATTCTTTCCATGTTCTTTATATTTATTTTCTATATATAAATTTTTATTAGAGAAATCCATACTATTTAATTTTTTATTATGTGACTCATATATATTTAACAAGCATTCATATGGAGAGTGTAATTTATACATAATTTTGTGTTTATATATATCGTTTAATAGTCTACTTCTTACTTTATAGTTGTAATACTGCAATGGATAAAAATCATTTTTAATTCGTAAAATTTTTTTTAGTTTTTTAATTATATAGTTTAAACAAACTTTACAAAATGACATACTAGTATGACTTAACCCACCTAATAAATGAAAAATATAGAATATTTGAGGATACTGAAACAATAATTTAAATAAAATATCAATGGAATAATTTAAAAAATCATAAAAATTCTGAATGTTCAAATAAATTACAATATTAGCACACATATATAACATTTTTTTTTCTTCATTCTTTATATAGTTGATACAATTAAAAATTTTTTTTCTTTGCTCATTTGACAATTTATTTACATTAATAGTTATATATTGGTCATTCTCAACATCGCTATATATTTTATTTTCATTTATTTTCATATTTATATATTTTTTAATATCATCGTTTTTTATTTTTATATTATCTATAGTGACAAAAGAACAACAATAATTGTACAAAATAGAGCAAATAATTATATGATAAAAAATTTTATATATTATTTTTATCCATACATCATCCAGTTTATAAGAAAATAAAGATATATTTTGAACAAGGGATAAATTAAAATCACTTAAATCATACATATCTTCAAATATATCATTTGTATTCATATCACATTTTTTATTGTTTCTTGAATCTTGATCCTGTAATTCTTTTTTTATTACATTTTTTGTTTTTTCATTATTTATATTATTCCGATTATAATTTTTCTCATTATTAAAAAAATTATTTCTATTAGGATAATTACCAGTAATATTTTCTTCAAAAAAAATTTTACAAGAATTTTTTTCACTTTTTATATTATTTTCTTCATAATCTCTTTTTTTAGTGTGATCATGATTATAATAGTTCATAAAATTATCTATATTTATTTCATTCTTATTATTGTAACCATATATAATACTATTCAACTTTTTTTCATTTTCGTTATTATAATTATTCATATAATTACATAAATCATTTTCAATTGTATAACTATTTAAGTTACTATCATGGGAATTGAACAAATTTTTTCCATTTACAAAAATATTATTAAAAAATTCGTCATTTCTTAAAAGAAAATCATCATTTTTTATAAGAAAATCATTACTATTAAGAAAACTACTTAAATGTATATTATTATCTTTATCAATCATATTATTAACATTCATATATTTATCATTATTATCATTATTAACTTTATTATCATTCAAATAATCAATATCATTTCGAGAAATATTATTAAGATTAAAATTATTTTTACAATCATTCAAATTATAATATTCACTTTTTATTAATTCATTTTCATTATTATATAAAAATTCATTATCTATACACATATTATTATTATTACTACTACTACTAAAATTATTATTATTATTACTATTATTATTATTATCACTGTTATTATTATTACTGTTATTATTATTACTGTTATTATTATTATTATTAATATTATTATTATTATTAATATTATTATTATTATTACTATTATTATTATTATTACTATTATTATTATTATTACTATTATTATTATTATCACTGATATTATTAATATTATTATTATTATTATTATTATTATTATTATTATTATTATTATTATTATTATTATTATTATTATTATTATTATTATTACTACTACTACTAATATTATTATTAATATTATTACTACTTCTAAAATTATTATTATTATTGCTATTAAAATATAAGCTGTTATATCCATTCAAACAATAAGAATTATTACACTCATTAAAATTTTTTAAAAATTTAGTAGATGAAGTCTTGATTGAATTTTTATTAGTTTTATATATATGAGATTTATTTATATTTTTATTTGTCTTATCTTTTGTTTGATTAATTAAAAAATTATAGAAATATTGACTATTAACATTTTTGTAAATACTATGTGTAATATTTTTATTTTTTTTTTTTATTATGTTTCCTTTTTTATTGATACTCTTATTTGTTCTTTCAAAATTTTTGAAATTTTCCTTTTTTTCTTTCATTACTTCAAAGTTATTATAATCTGGAATATTATTTTTATAATTTTCCTTTAATTCTTCTTTATTGATAATTATATCATTATTAAAATATAAATAAATATAATAAATATTATTTTTTATACATGTGCAAAACGAATACAATAAATATTTGTATTCTCTTAATAATTCGTTTAAATTTTCTTTATGATTATTTACCTTATAACTATTTTGTAATAATATTTTTCTCTTATCACATATAATATCATCATTTGAATTTATTTTCATAATTTTTTTTTTTTTCTTTAATGTATTTTTAAAAGTTAAACAAAAATTATCTGAATTATATTTACATTTTTCTTGGAAAAAATGTGACATTTTTTTTTTTTTTTTATAATTATTTTGAGAAACTTTTACTTTTTTAGAATTAGTAACACGTTTATTATTTTTACATATTTTTTTATATACATTATGCAATTCATATTTTAAAGAAAAACTTTTATTTAGCATTATATTTATAATATCAAAATATAACGAAAAATACAATGAATTTCTCTTTTTTATTCTAAAAATTATGTGAATTATAAAAACTAATAATTTGATACAAATGTTCTGAATAAAAATAGCTTTTTTCTCTTTGATAATAATATACGAATAATTATCTATACAACTTTTTAATATGTTAAAATTCCATACATTCTCATTTTTAAAATAAAAAAATATATCATGTATTAATATAAATATATATATATTTAAAAAGCTATTATTGTTCAAATTTTTTATATACAATGAAGGGTCTAATAAAAACTTTAAATAATGCTTCAAATTTTCTTTGAAATTTTCATGTAGTAATAATCGAATGTTTTCAATAAACTTTTTTTTTTTCTCCATAAAAAAGTGTGTATCATATTTTAAAAATTCAATAATTTTTTCTATAAGAAATTGTTTATAAAGAAAATACATATTACTTTTGTTACATCTTAATAAGAAGCATAAAAAATAGATAATGTTATTTTTTAAATTTAGAAGTTCTGATAATTTAGATATATCTATCTCATATTTATTATAATCTACATTTTTGTAAAATTTTTTCTTTATTGTTTTTAATCCATTTTTAGGAAAACCATATTTAGCATCATTAGGTAAATTATTTAATTCATTAACGTAATTGTTATATGAATCATTATTATCAAATGAATTATTGTAGAAAATACTATCATTTGTGAGATAGCTATTATTAATAGGAGCTTTATCGATAATTAAATTATTATTAATAAATGAGTTATTATCATAACTTGGAATATAAAACAAATTGTTTTTATATTTATTATTTTCATCAAAATTTAAAGTATAACAATTTAAATTACCAAAAGTTGTATTAATTTGATAAATTTCATTGTTTTTGTTAACTTCTATTTTCTCATTTGCAGTTTGATGATTTAACAAATTTTTATAACTACATTCCTTATTATTAGGACTGTATAAATTTTTTGAATTTGTTTCATCATTTACATTATTTTGGTTTATAAATGAATTTTCATATTCATAATAATATACATTTTTTAAAATCCATTCATTAGAATACTTAATGGATTCTATAAAAAAAAATTTTGAAAATTTAAAATCAAAAACATTGGTAATTGAAAGTATTTTACATAATATTTTTATGCAATCTTCGACATTATTTAATATATTTGGATATATATTTATTATAATAAAATTTGATAAAATTATTTCTCTAATAACTTTTAATGAATCTTTGCTACTGTTTAAATAATTTTTTTTTTTTTTTTTATTTTTCTTTTTTTTATAAATATTAATTAAAGATTTCAAAAATTTTCCTTTTTTAACTTTGTTAATTATTTTTTTATAAAATATTTTTAAAATGTTAGTAGATAAAATATTTATATATTTATAAATTTCGAATAATATTAAATCATTTCTATGCAATCTGCATATTTCTGTTATTATTCTAATACAAAGGATAGCATATTCTTCATTTACTTTTTCAACAAGATTTAGGCATATATCAAAAATTTCTACGATGTATTTTATTTTTTTAAATTTATAAATCATAGAATAAAATATATTTAAAATACTTTTTCCAAAATGATGTTTTTTATATTCATAACATAGTATATTATCATTTATATAATTTTTTATTAATGGATATATGTTCATTAAAAAATAATTTTCTTCCTTTTCATTCATATTTAATAGGGCTCTTCTAATTTTATGAAATTTTTTTCTCTTTTTAATTTCTTCATTTTCATTAAAAAAGTTTACTTTCATTAATTTTTCTTCAAGTGTATTTTCCATATTATCACTAACATATAAATATATACATATGCAATTATTTACAGAAATTAATTTCCGTTTGTCATAATTTAAAAGATAAAAAAAAAAAAAATTAATACAAGTGGCAAAAATATATCAGAAAAAAAAATACACTAATATCATGTAAATAAAAATATAACAAATAAAGAAATAAAAACAAAAGAAAAAGAAATTTAAAGAAATGTAAAGATAAAAAAAAAAAAAAAAAGAAAAAATGGGAGTATAACAAAAATTATATAAAACTTTAAATAATATCAAAACAAAAAGGATAATATAAAATAAAATTTAACAAAAAATAAAAATAATAAAGATAAAAACAAGTAGGAAAAAAAAAAAAAAAAAACTTGAAAGCAAATATTAATTAAAGTTTTTTTTTTTTTTGTTATTATTATCTTATTCATTTTATTTATTTTTTTTTTCCTTTTATATATTTACACACAAATATCATAAATATAACAAAAAAAGAAATAACAAATATATATACATATATGCATTAGATTTATATATATTTATATAAGTTGTTTTCTTAGAAAAAAAAAAAAAAAAAAAAAAAAAAAAAAAAAAA